AGAAGAAGAAGAAGAAGAAGAAGAAGAAGAAGAAGAAGAAGAAGAAGCAGAAAAAGAAGAAGAAGAAGAAGATAAAAGAAAAGAAGAAGAAGAGGAGGAAGAAGAAGAAACTGATGATGAAAAGAAGAAGAAGAAGAAGAAGAAAAGAAACGAGGAAGAAAAATAAGAAGGAGAAAAAAAAATAAAAATAAAATTGTTGTTGATTACTTATCTGCACAAAGGAAACGAGGGCGATGACAAGGACGGCGCGGCGCAGCGACGAGGACGACGGGCATGGTGATGATGACGTGGCACGACGACGCCGATCCCGTCGGTGATGATGATGACGGGGCACAATGACGACGATCACGATGTTAATGACGTGGCACGATGGCGGCGATCCCGTCGGTGATGATGATGACGGGGCACAATGACAACGATCACGATGATGACGATGATGACGGGGCACGGCGGCGACGATCTCGACGATGATGTTGATGATGGCCAGGTGACGACGTCGAAGCAGGGTGGGTCGGGCGGGTTCGAACCGCTCCGATACCAGTGTAACGAGCGTGAGGCTGAGGGTGAGCCGAGGGAGAGGAGAGAGAGAGGGAGAGAATGAGAGCACATACACACACACACACTCACTCGACACGACGGACTCAGACTGAGGGTTGGATGCAGACACAGTGGCAAGGCACAAAGTCGAAGTCTTGAATTCCGAATGCCGAAACGGCGAGTCACACTGAGTACGAGTACAGCAGCAGAGAACTGGTACGAGACTGGTCCCCGTACCGTACGGGGAGCCAGTATAAGTACTGGTGACACGCACGGTACCAGGGGCATTTCTGCAAAGGCCCCGAGGGAAGAACTGAAAAATGCAGTATTTGAAAGTGGCGCCCGAATTGCAACATGGCGCCAGTTGTCCAAAATCCTACGGTACCAAAGGAGGGGTTTGGAAAAAGGGTGCCAGGCCGAAAACGGGATGCAGCCGAAACAGCAAAAAAAGATAGACCAGGGATCGAGCCCTGGCGAAGTCCGTAACAGGTGGGCTGGATATCAGGACTGGTATGGTTCCACTTTTGAACACCGTGTCCTGGCTGTAGTGGTTAAGGCACTTGGCACCTGAGGCCAAGGTTGCCGGTTCGAATCCGTACTTGCACGGAGGAGGGCTTTGACCTGCTTGTGCGGATCTATATACCACATTGTGACGCTCGAACCCCATACCTTGCTCAGCTTTCCTTGTCGAAGTGACTAAAGCACAAAAAGGGGCCTGGAAAGCGCAGCAAAATGGGGTGTGCCAAGGATTTTAGGAAAATTGAGTGTGTGGACACACAGACAAAACTGAAATCTCCTGTGTGGTCCCAAATATGGAGCGGCAAACAAAAGTGGGAAGGAGGCAGAGAAAGGGTCCTAACGACTATATAATCCAAAATATATCTTTAAACTTCGTCGCACGTTGCGCGCCGTCTTTTGCTTGGCCGCAGGGAGGTTGGAATGCACATGGCGTTCAACCTCACGCCCTGCACTGCCTTCCGGTCGGAGTGATCAAATATGGGGAACAAGCCTTGGAAGAACAATAAAACTGGGTGTGCGGAGGATTTTTGGGAAAATTGAGTGTGGGGACTCAGATGGAACTGAAATCCCCCAAGTGGTTCCGGTTTAGTGAGAAATGGCCCGTGGTGCGCGGTAAAGAAATAGCGCACACTCGTTTCAAACATTCATTAATCCCAAAAGTATCTTTGAACCTCCATGCGGGCTACTCGTCGTCCTTTCAATCGGAAAGGTGGGGTACACATGTGGGATCTCGTTTTCAAATTAAAAACCGGCGTTGTACGCTATAGAGTTTGGAATCCGACGTTGATGGCGTCAGCCCAATCGCTCTTTCTTGGTGTTCGTCCTCGCCCAACCTCACGCCCAGCGCGACTTCCTGATTGGAGTGGAGTGTGGGCCTAGAAGTGCGAAAAGGGGTGTGCCAAGGATTTTTGGGGGAAGTGGGGGAGTCTTAAGGGTATGAATGCAATTAGGCGAACGAGGGGTGCGCGCGCAAGGGTCTCACAGTCCGAAGGGGCTGGGACATTGTGGGCGACGGGTTATGGGAAAATTCCTCCGTGGTGGAGAGGTTCCTGAAAAGTTAGGCCGTCGGGGGCCGCCACGTGGCGCAGGCCGCCGCGTACCTGGGTTGGGCCTTCGGAATTCCGGAGTTCTCTGTGCGCCGCTGCGTCGGCAGTTCACGCAAAACGTATTGGGCCAATAGGGGGCTATGGCCGGCCACGGAACGACACTGAGTTGATGATACGGGAGAAGAAGGCGGAAAGGAGGGAAACTGGTGGTGATCTTAACGAATCCCGGGTGGGTGAAGTAGTAGGTGTGGTGGGGGGAAGGGAAATCAGAGCACCGAGGGTCGCTAGTGGTGGCACAATGGAATTCCCTCGGACATAGCCGATTCTCCGTGTGACAGGGGTATCGTGTCCTTATGAGCTCGTTTATCATAGGGGTGAAATAGTCGGGTCATAGGACGAGTCTGAGCCCCAAGATCACGTCATGGTATCATTGTCGATGGGATAGCGCGGGTCGAGATATCGTCAGTGCGCACGAGCACGTGTAGGATAGGCAGACTCAGTGACGCCTCAGCGTGCTCGTACGGGATGATGGTTCCGCCGCGATTCCTTTTTGGGTGAGCGAGTCGACGCACGGGAATGCGTGTAAGGGCGCGACTCGGATCGCGTTTACACGTGTTCTCGTGCGGCGTTCGCGGGACCAGACTTCGGATCGTCAATTATGCAAGATGCCATCATATCGCAACCCCCATCGCAGGATAGGCAAAAACGAGAACAAAATCACTATCAGGGCCTGATTCAGCGATATCAGGACCAGGCGAAGATCCGACATAGACATAACGCAAGGACAGAGATCTTCATTAAAAAGATAGACAAGCAGTCATAACATCCATATATCCATACATTCGGCAATCATACACATAATGCAAGCAGGACGGACATCGCAAGGACAAATGTGAGCAAAAACCCAAGCCCAGATTTCAGAAAGCCGAAACAAAAATAAGAACGGGCAAACCGCCCGGAGCCGCAATCAAAATGTATGTACACAGATGAAGAGGGGGAAGAGACAAGAAAACAGCAAACCCGCGCCCTTCGATCTCAACTCTCTCCTCTCTCTCTTTCTCTTCGATGCGGACAGTCCGTCGTCACGCACCTACCCACGAAGTTGTCACCCCGCTTAGCCCTCCCGCACCCGTCGGATTCGCCCGTGCCCACAGTCCGTCGTGGCCCATGTCAATCCCGTGCGTTCGACACCAGCCCGTCGGGTCGCCCAACTCCTGCTCTACTCACCTCTTACTTCGCTCGTGTGCCGACCCTTCCTGATCGCGCAACCCCGAGCTTCCAACAACGGGTTAAGAGAGGTGACTAATCGCGCAGCCAAAATTTATAGCGTGCATGCATGCACAAAGAACACGG